TAATCACTGCATTCATTTTTTCTTTTTTTGCTCCCTTTTGGCCTGGTGTCGCGAATTCGCTTCATATTGAAAAACTTTGACCAAGCAAGTGACGGAATGCATGCCGCCTTTAATGGTGGCTGTCACAAGGAACGTAGCTTTTAGCAGTAAAAATCCAGTGCTATCTTGTGTAATGTATTTTATGCTAGAACCAATTGTTTTGTAGCTGATGGTGGAGAGTGCTCACATATTCAGTCTCTCACCTGGTTGATAGTACACGCTCAAAACGTGGCACACGACAATGTTGCAAAGTATGAAACACATTATTCATTGCAAGATCCTTGCTTCTGTGGCATCTGGAGAATTCGCGACATACATGAAAGTGTGCATTAAAGGTGCATTTAGATAATTGTGGAATCAATTAAAGGTTGCTATTTAAATCTGCAAAATGAAACTAATTTTAATTTTTAGACAATTTTTTAAATTCTGGCATTAAAGGGTTAAAGCTGAAATACATGGATGATCCACGAGAGCGAGCATGTGTGTCCGGATGATATTTTTGTTTTGTCTGTTTTTTTTATGTGGGTATATTTGAGGTGCACAGAACTGAAAATTTTTATTTCTAGAAGCTATTCCCAGTGCGCCAAAACAATGTTTTAAGGTGACTGCTCGCGCGTCTTGCTCTTGCTTGCCGGAACATTTCCCGATTTCGCAGGCTAGTTAGGTGAGCCCTGTAAATGTGTCGAAAATTTTTTTTCTTGTTTTTATATGCATCACAGGGACATTCATGCTTTCCTTAAGCTGTCTGCAGAATCAAAGAATTCTGATAAAATGGCAAACTCTGTCAAAATAAAAAAGTTTGGTATCTTTGATGCACCTTGGCGCATTTATTTCACGCAATACCTTTTCAACATTCCTGCAAAAGATTTTCCTAGATGGAGCGTGATAGAAGAAAAAATATATTTAAACAAGTGTTTTTTTTTTTTCAAAAAAAAGCTTATTTTCAAAAAAGAAAAGGAAAAACCCTGGTCCTAATTTTCAATCATTTTTCATTGAAGTTCACTTATGTCACTTGATGCATTGTTTCAATATTATGTCTTCCTTTTCTTCAAGAAATGGCGTTAGTGTTAACAAGCCGAAACCTGTCATCACAGCACTGAAGGCAGCACATTCAAAAATTTTCAGTGCACGGACAGTTTTTGGAAATGAAAATTTCGGTTCCGTGCTCCTCAAATATACCCACACATTAAAGAAACCTGACAGAAATAAAATCTCGTCTGGACATGCATGTTCGGCCCCTCGTGAAATAACCCACATACACATGAGCTTATGAAGCCGCTCATAAAATTGCATAGTTTCCTCTCGTATGCAGTGCTGGTGCATATTTTTTTATTTTCATTCGGAAACTAATCACACAAAAAACAGTGCATTTTGAAAAAAGTGCAGTGGCACGAACTGAACTTATACCCCTGTCACACGGGCACACGTGAAGACCGTTTAACTCCCTCGTCCTTACGACAACGAAGATGCCGTCCGTGTCACACGGCCACCCTTACGCAAACGAAGGTAAACGGAGCATTTCGCAAAGGACGGTCAACGATCTCCCTTTGCAGCGAAACGAGGCACTCTCGTCCCGAGCAGTCTATAAGTCGGAGAAAAATTTCGAGTACTAAGTGGCCGCAGTGAAAGAATGATACATTTTGGCAATATTAAACGTTCTTTCGTTGTAGTACTCATTCACAACGCGTGTTTGTTTACATATATTTACGCGCGCCAGAGTTCACTTACTCTCCACACCGATGCCCTACACACCGTGCCTCACGAGTTGGGCCGGCCGGCCCCAGCCGATCAACGTCATTACCAGCGCAATATCGTACCACTTCCTCACGTCGTGCGCTGTGTCACTCATGGCTGAAGAACACAAAATGTGCCTCACGAGGCAAGGAAGCATAAGAATTTTCGTACCGGGCATGTACACGGGCAACAAAACAACTAAAAGCACAATGTGGCCAGCGTCACTAGCAGCATCGCTACATTTAGCAAATGCGTTTTTATTTTAAATTGTTTTTAATGGTTTGTTAGTTGCATACCTACTTAATAGTGCTTTTTTGTAAAAACCGCATAATGAGGATTCATAAAAAATTAATAGTGATGAAATTAGAATACTTTTCCAAAAATCAAACAGCGCCAGCTGAGCCCTCTTGTGGCAACTGTTACAAACTTGTCATTGCCGTGTGACACTGCCACAACTCCTCCTCCGTCGAATCCCCTAGGGGAGATTTACAATGACGGTGTTCAACGGAGTTTCGTGGTGGCCGTGTGACAGGGGTATTAAACAAATGCAGATAACTGGACTTATTACAACAAATGCAGTTGATGGACTTGCAGTGAAAGTGCATAACATACAGCGAACGCGTATGGATGGTTTTTTTTTTTAATCTAGCCGGGAAAACTTGCTTTTTTTTTTCATGACGCTCCACAGTGAAAATGTATTGCTTACAAATTTTTTAGAATAAAGGGAGTGAAGTGTGTGGTGCAGTTGCATTAAGCTCATCATGCTTATAGCCGTGCAGTTCGTTGCAACCACATTGTTTACTTATCCGTTGCTATTAGGCAAAGTGATGTTTAGTGAGCGGACCATACCATATTTTAGCAGCTACTTGAACTGTCTTTCAGCTCTAACTCTCAGAGGGAGTAACAGCCCTACTCTGCCTTTGGCACACCTTTACCTGTATTAGCAAGACAACCTAGTAAATGTTGACATGATTTTTAGTGAGCTATCACTTGGTTTCATTTGTAGGCACCGCATTAATTTGCTTGTTTTTCCATGAGGTTGCAGTGCTTTGTTAGAAAAGTCTTTTAAAAATCCTCTTTCTCCTTAAAATATGTGTTTCCCTCTGATCCTGTCGGAATCGCAAAGTGAGCAATATTTAATATTTATGAAATAATAACTGAGGAAACAAAAGCACAAATGCATAATCACAGCATGTAAACATTATAAAACAAGGGAACTACATCGCAGCTAAAAAAAATGTCATTCATGAGGATATGCCATATGCCACTAACAGCATCCTCCTCCTTCTCTTTTTGAAGATGCATGGGCAAAGGAAACTTGCGCACGCATTCTGCTTTATGATGGGCTCTTAAAAACACAATAAAGGCAAATATTAAGTTGATTTTGAATTGCTGAAATAGCGCTCCAGACACCTAGTGGTGTTGCTTTTGAGCCAAAGAAGTGCTTATTTTGATTTAAAATCATGTTTTAGTCCACATTGCGTTGGCGCACTTTAGATTTCCTGCCTGAAGTCCTCCGTCTCACACCACTGATCCCGTGCTCAACGTTGCCCGGCTTTACTGCGCGGCCACCGACACTAGTAGTAGCAGAGCGAAAGTAGCAGGAGCCACAGCAGGAACAACGGCCATTCAACAATTTCCTGCCATGGCCTCCGAGATGGCTGGCGTATTTGATTCAACTGGGCCCCGCTAGATGGCATGACCTGGCCAGTTTAACCAGGGGAAATTGCAGTTTTGAACCAGTCGTGCCATTCCCCATATAGTAACATCCGTTTCTTTTTTTTTTTTCATCAATAAAACAGAAAAGAGCAAGCAGCATTTCATTACATTTCTTGATGCACAGAGGGTTCTTTATTTGGTGCAGCTACTTCGATTACTAGTGAATAATTGTAGGCAGTAACTGTGAAGTCATAGGGATCATTGTGCAAATGTTCTACTCGTGACGCATGTGTTCTCGTGCATTTACCTTACTTTTGCAGTGATTACTTGTGTTCTCTTTTCTTCAAATTATGTGTGGTGTGGACACAATTTTTTATTGAACAACTTGGACTCAGTGTGTAAGTGTTAAGCTATGTAGCTATGCTTCAGCCTTGTGTTTGTTAACCTAATTAGTGATGTCGACTGCTGCGCAGAGAAGGAGTAGCTGGCGCCATGCATTGGCACCAATCTCTCCTTACATGCATTTATCTTAGAAAAAAAGTAGGGCACTGCTATTGGTAAGCCTGTCTCGTCAAAAAAAAAAAAGTACGCTCGGACTTATAACTGTCGAAAAAATGTATCTCAATACATAGTTTTCCCTTAAGCAATTGGGGAATATTCTGGAATGAGCTACCAGCAAAGGACATGGTGTTCTTGATTATAGCAGATTTAATTAATGCACTTTAGGCTCATTTGAACTGTTCATTCATATGTACATTCTTTTTCTCATGTACACCATATATAAGTGGTATGTAGCAGATGATGGTTATAGCATAGTCATTTATTTTAATTGTAAGTGTTCCCAATTAATAGAAATAGAGAAGTACTCATGGTATGTAGAATGTTGTAGCTTCTGTTTGCATAGTATCTACATATCGGTTTATTGTTTATCCTCCAGTTCTGCTTACAACCCTCCTAGGCTAGCGATGCTTTACAAATAAAAACAAAAATTATAAAAAAACATCAGTAACCTTGGCATCTGACTTCAGTTAATAATCCAATGGGCGATGTGTCCCCTGGAAATGAGCTGTGAAGCCTATTCTAAAGAAAGGCAGTAGAGCTGGTCATGGGAACTTGATGTGTCTAGTGATATTAACAGTGCAGTTCGCGTCCTTATTAGCACGCATGGACTCCAGAAAAGCCACTTCCTTCACTTGTACAACTAGTAGAACCTTTCATCCTTATGCATATCATATAGGCGTACAAACTTAAAGCAAAATGTGTTCCGAGTGGAAGCAAACGTAATTGATTATAGTGTCATTTTGCTCTAAGGAGAATTCTATGTGTGCAAGAGAACCACTAATTCATTCCTGATGCTTAATTTGGCTTTGTTACATAGTGCTGTATGACAGGTTTGCTGAAGTTAAAATTGTAGGATGCAATCTGATTGATTTGTTTTGCCTGTGGCAGTATTCAATTTTTTTTCTACAAGACTCTTAAAGATTGCTATGTATTAAGGCCCCTTTAGTGTGGGGGCGGCTATAACTGTAAAGGGGGCGACTTCGTTCTCTTTTCTGTCTGTGCCGCAGAGGCTAGGAGGCAGCAGCAGCAACAACAGTGGTGGAGTGGTGGCCAAGGCTCTGCCGCAGCAGTGGCGAGCGGAGGAGGAGGGGGGTGTGGGGGAGCGGGACATTAACCAGCTCTCGGACGACGCCTTTGAGAGTGTGCTGCGTGAGCTGGTGGAGTGCAAGCCGCAGGCGCGCTCGAGCTCGCTGGTCCGCAGCTTGCGCCGCGAGGTGCGTGACCAAGAGGAGCTCTTTGATGGCTCCCTGCATGCGCTGCCGCTGCTCTCCTCGTCTGCCTCCGGTGGGCACCACCAGTCGCGCCACCACCACAGGCCTGGTGGCTCTCTCTCGCTTCAGGTGGGGTCTCAGCCCTGCCCTCAAATGTTACCGACGTGTAAATTTTCCCGGTGTTTCTTTGTGTCGAAATAAAGGCCAAGTCGTCGGGAAGGGAATATACTTGTTCGTAACATGATTGCGCATTGAAATCTTACTTACATGTTTTTAAAAGCTAGTTTCGGTTCCTAAAGTAACCTAGCATCGCGACGTGGTATGAACCTTCGTCCGTGTGCGTGCTCAAGGTGCCATGATGTTACCATAGCCACTCTGCTTCGTGGCTCTATTAGTTGAAGCCCAAGGGACCATTATGAATATTTGTCAGGACGAGCAAGCCGCCGTTTCGTATATTCTAGCGCTGGACGTCATAGTTTCCTTGAAGTACTAAAGGGAACTCTGGTGCTAGTGTCTATAGAAACCTGCAATGCACGGTGCTTCAGCCAGCATGAGCATGATGGGTAGTATACGTATTTGTCGGATCTTTGTTATTTTGTTATTTTCATTAGGTCATTTGTTATTTTGGGAATAACAAATGACTTATGGAGTTCTTTCCATTAAGTCATTTCCTTCGTCTTGCACGATCAAATCACAGTTGCGGCTGCTGCATTTTGCTGGAGGGGAAACGCTAGAGGCCTGTGGACTGCGGTTTATGTGCATGTCAATGAAACCCAGCTGTTTGAAATTCCCGGAGCCGACCTCCGCAGTGGCCCTCACATCGTGGTTTTGAGACTTGAAACCCCATCACTTATTATTGGCAGATTGTGGTAACTAGTTGCTCTTTGCTTGGTTGAAGATTCTGGATGGCCGCCTGCCTGCAAAAAGCTTCGCATGGCATTAGTTTTACAGCGCGTGCGTGCTGCGTGATTTCCCCTATTTATAGCACCTTTTAAGTCTGCCATATTCCTCTTACCTGATGGTTGTGCACCATGCTATTGCTTTATGTGGCTCGGTCTGCTTGTTGGGCTGGACGGCTTGAAAAGAAGACGTCACGAAACTTTGTATTCCATCACCGCATTAAACAGGCGTTGGTTTGTCTCTGGTATGTGTCTTTTCTAGCAGTGTCCATAAACAGTCTTTGAATGCAGGGTATCACTGGAACCAACATTTCGCTAGCAGACTTGTACTTTTCAGGGTTGAAGCCTTGAAAGGTTAAGAAATTTGTAAGCAGAGGGTGGCTGCCCTATTTACGATTTTCTCATTGCAAGCTTCCATCTTCCCCTTTTTGCCAACCTGGAAGGTTGTGGCTTTAATAAAAAGTACGCTTGTCAAAACGCAGGCATTGGTGACACTCCTTGTTCCAAGTATTGTTCATCGCTTTCAGATTCCATCTTTCTTCAACTTCTATCTAGCAGCGTTATGTAGTTTCACTGTTTGCACAGTTTGCGCGAGCATAGTTCTTCGTGTGGCTTCTGAAGAGCTCATTATTCTATGGCAATGGCGCAGGACTTGGCCACCAGCTCTCCCATGCCATCGTCCAGCATGGTGCGGCCGCGCGGGGGAGGAGTCCCCAACCCGGCGGGTCGCGGCATGAGGCAGGTCAACGTATCTCGCCTCGTGGACGCCCGCACGGTGCGCCTCGACCACCACGTCGATATGGCTGCGGCGGTGGCCGCGGCTGGCGGAGGCGCAGGCAGCGGAAACAGCAGCGGCAGCGAGGCATCGCGTGCCGAGGAAGAGAAGCCCAGCGCCGCAGTGGCTGCCCTCGGCAGGGTCGACGAGCCCTCCTGCGCCATCAAGTTCCCACTCCTCATCAGGCCTGGCAAGAACCCGCAGCCCGACCAGGAGCTGGTGACCATCAAGAACGGCAGCAGCATGAGCGCTAACGAGGATGTCGTCGAGATGCCGACGACTATAGATCACGGGCCCCGCCGCGTCACCGCTACAGTCATCGACCACAACCACACCACTTTCATAGCTGCAAAGGTGTGTGTGCATGTGTGGGTGGGTGTGTAAACGATATCTTTAGCCAGTGACAACCTCTGAAAGAATGTAAGCTCCACCTTCAGTTGTCGCCATCTTACCTCCAGAGAATTTCCATAAATGCGCCCCTTTCATTGATTCTGCTCATATCTGCTACATCAAGTGCCTTTAAAGGGGGACACTAAACCTGAACACTTTCTAGAAAGTTCACTGTTAATTTCAATGAAACTTGCTGAGTGTACATATATTTATCTGCTGATTTCAAGTATGCAATTTTTGTCTAAACTTAGAGTTGCTTAGTCAATAAGTGCATCAGAATTACCTCAAGTGGGTATAGTGTACTACAATAGATGTTCTAAGCTCATTTGAACGAAAGTTCTGGTATATGGAATATTTGTGACTGAAATCCAAACTTAGACCCGTTTGCGAATATTCAAAATACCATAAGTAATGATGAATGCCACCTCTTTAGTAGGCTCTGGATTAGAGAGTCTACATTCAATTCGACTGCGGTGGCAAAATAGTTTTTCGAAGTCGGTCTAATCCCGTTATATATTGGTGTGTAGCAGCCATGTGGTGTTGTTAGATGCGAATGACATTCCATTTGAATGATACTAAAACGACCAGTGTGACATGGGTACATAAGACTTATCAATGGAAGTTTTTTTTTACCTATGGTTATGTTTTACCTCTTGGTGCGCTAAGCTCCATTGTTTCGCATTAATTCGGCTGTGCAGTGGTCACTTAGAATAGGGATTTCAAAAACTGATTACGAAAAGGGTTCGTTTCCTATGTAGTGTGCTTCAAGCATTTAGTTTCAGTGCTGCCGTAAGAGCTGTCAATCTGTGATATCACGCTGTTGTGTAGTGTTTCAAGTAAATCAAAAAACGAGCAAACGGGACTTATCATTGTAAAGAGCCTAAAATGTGTACATATCTACACTCGTAAAACATTAGTACACTACTATTAGTATACGTATTTTCAAAGCACTGGAGTGAGGGTGTGGCCTTACTGAATAAATGCGACATTTATGGAGCTGACACAGGTGAAAAGTTAGCGTTTCCATACAATATTCAGATTGATATAACAGCTTAAGTACGAGCTTATGAGCTAGCAAAGTCTCCTTTTTTTTTATTCATTGGGACCCAAGTCGCTTACACATGAGTGTTCGAAAGTTTGGATATAGCATATGTTGCACTGCTGGTTTGTTTGATGTTTTTAAATGCATTCAAGCCCATTCTTGCAAGTGATGCATAGTTTGAGTGGAGCATTTTCGCCATTGCTCGAACGGTATTAGGGCTTTGCGGGTGTATGCTTGGAAATGTGGTGAATTGCTACTTATGGCTATGGGGAGATGTCTAATGTTGGTTTTCCTTGTCTCCCAGGAATTCTGTATGGACAAGGACGGCAGAATGTCCTTTTTTACAGGTGGGTGATTATTTATTTTTTCTTAAATTTCAGGACCACTGCATAACTGCACCCAAATCAGGCTTTCCTCTTCCTGTCACGCGCCTACGAAACAGAAAACAGTTCAGTCCATGTCATGAGTGCACGTTCTCATGGTGGAAGAGATGGAGAAATAAAGGGAGGCAAATTCTCGAGCGGTTCTGACGATTCATCAACAGGTTTGGGTGCCTTGGAGCTACAGTCGATCCCGGATATATCAAACTCGGATATATCAAATTATTCGCTAAATCAAACAGTTCAAATATCCCCCTGAACTTCCCATGCAAAAGTATGGGACCGGTGCACCCATTTATGAACTCCCGCACAGCAGGACATTCATTATATCGAACGCTGCACCGCGCCAAGGCCCAGAAAGTGCATTTTTCCCTGGCAAATGTTGACCAATTTTAGGTCGTGTTCTAACAAGTTCCGGTCCTTTTTCGCACTGAACTGATTCGTTGCGCGGCACTTGCTACATCTGTACAATTGATGTGCAATCTGCAAGTCTTAGCGCGTGGACAAAATGTTTTCCAAAAGACCGATTGCCGAAGGCAGCGAAATGAGAATGCGAAGTGACTCGGCGATCTCAGAGCAATGTTCGCATTCCCTTCCTTGTTGTTAGCGCACAATGACGTGCAAGCCTGAAAAGCATGGCCTTCGAGATGTGCTACCTTGTCACGTATATTTAGTGTTTTCGGTTTCAAAACACGTCTCGGAGGCTATGCTTTTTTTATCTTTTCGCATCAAAGTCGCTAAAAGCAGCGGCTGTCAGCTACAAAGCCATAATGACATCGATATCGCCAACATGTAGACGATGAGAGCTCGGACGAACTCGGCGTTGCGTTTTTTGTGCTTTGTGTTTTTGTGCACTTCTCGCCTCGTTCCTGATAAATCCTCGTTGGAGAGTTTAACTGAACTTTGACCCCGATGAAGCGATAAAAGTTATGACTGGCGCTTGGAGCGAGGTAAAGTAAAACACTGTGTTGTAAACGTTCCTTGCGGGCCAGGTGATGACTTCGGGTGCGTCATGACCGCTAACAACGGCGTACGGTACCTCAGTTAATTCTGTGACTTGTCAGCATTTCCGGGCACCATCTCGGAGCAGAAGCGACTTCACCAGTACTGATGACGATGTTGCCGTTTCTGACTGCATCAATGCTGAGATTTTGGCTAGCAATGTCGCGGAGGGGTACTCATGCGTGTGTGATGAATATGCAAACGCCTTCACTGCTGCCGCTAACCAAGCTTTTGCCGTGCTACAAAGCTTGCATCAGGCGTTCTGCGTCAACCAACGTTATGGCCGAGGGAACTAAGTTCGTTTATTTGAAAAGCTTCACTGATATTAAGGATGTCTGAACTTGACAGTGCGCGAGGAGCAAGACAAGTTTACAGACTGAATAAAGTGCAGTAACCTGCAGTTTGCATCTTGTCTTTGAGCGAATTGTTATCTTAGCTCTTGTAACGATTTCAGAGGCCTGCAATTCTTCAATGCAGGCCTTAAATATGCATATTCCGTATTTTTAATTCTCGATATATCGAACTATTTCACGAACCTCTTAGAATTTGATATATCCGGGATGGTCCGTATCTACACTGTAGAATTTTTGTTGTGACAAGTCAATGTTCCTAGCTCCCTTAGAGCACCCTAAGTGTCTTGATTTGTTGATCTCTAAGCAGTGGCAGCTTCAAGGTGTCACTGCCATATTTTCTTTTCTTGGTTGTGATCCTTAGTCTCTGAACCCTTTGAATGACACTCGCCAAAAAACTGATTGTTGTGGGGTCTCGAAATGAGGCATGCTCTCGGAACACTTGGATGCAGTAGATTCGTCTAACTAAACCAAACAAAGCATTTATTGGAATACTTTCATGCATCGACGAACTATGCCATTAGTGACACGCTAAGACAAGGTCACGTGAACGCATCGTCGCTGATGTTCGACTTCCCGCGAGGGACCCAGGGAACACAACTTGTGGTTGCTGCATGACTCTGTCGGGAGACGACCATTCATGCCAGCCGCCCTGCGTCAGGCTCCCCAATCTTTTCTGTCTGGCCACCTAGCCTGGCGTCACTGCCAGCTCTACGGCACCAACCATGATGATGATGGTAAACGCGCGCAAGCAGTACACCACCTACTGCAACGTTTATACATGCTTTTTCAATTCTGCAACTCTTCGCGCCGCATCTAAGGAAAAGGCTGCTGGTTGCTGCACTTGCCGCCACAGCGCTGCAGTTTCGCCTAGCGCTAGCAGAGCAAGAGTTGTCTGCTAGTGCGAAGAATGTTGTTGGGCCTTTGCGTGCACCTGAGTGGGAATTGTGCGTACAGTGTACTTGGCCTTTACTCTCGCTATTTCACAGAGGCCACACGCTTTTGTTCATGCGAGTTGTACGACTCGTGAACTTAAAAAAACCTGCATGTACTTCGCAGGCATCCGATTTGTGCAGTGACAAAGTACCGTATTTACTCGATTCTACCGCGCCCTCGATTGTAACGCGCACCCGATTTCCACCGCGAAAAAAAAAAAAAAAACGTGAGACATCGATTGCAACGCGCACCCATTTTTTCTCGCTGGCCCGCATGATCACACCACTCGAAAAAACGACTCCTTTTGGGAGCGTCTTCCATTTAAATATGAGGTACGGGCGAAGCTTGTGCCCATCTGACGTGTAACAGAGCATTGCCGTCACTGTAGTTTTACCGTGGACCGATGTCGGCACGCGAACTTGCTTCGCCCCCTTCTTCTCGACGGTTGTGGTGCCAGGCATGTCGAAGTAAAGAGGCGTCTGATCGGCATTCCCGATTTGCCCAAGCAGGTAGTCGTTGTTGCGCCGCAAGTTTAGGACGAACCTCTGAAAACTGTGAAGCTTTTCATTGTACTCTTCCGCAAAACTTTTCGCATATGCATGTTCCCCTTCGAAGGGAAAAGCCTTTCCTCTTCATAAAGTTAGTCAGCCAGCACCTGCTCGCTTTAAACTGGCTCCGCATTAGACATTTTTCTAAGACTAATTGCATAGCCCGCACTTGGAGCAATTCTGCCGTCACGGGCCGCTGTGCTGCTCGCTGCTAAAGCACATACTCGCCGAGCAGCTCTTTAATTTGCGGAAACCGACCCTGCTGCGGTCCACTGAAGTCTTTGCGTAAAGCTTTGCTGTCGAAAATCTTCTGCTTTTGTTTCCGCCGGTCCCGCACGCACGTTTCGGGAACTCCGAACGACCGCGATGCGGCCCGATTTCCGTCCGTTTCAGCACACGCGATGACTTTTCTTTTAAAAGCGGCATCGTGGTGCACTCGAGTTTTTGGAGTCGGCCATTCCACGCCGTCGATGCTAATGCACTACTAGATGACGAACTCCTCAGCACACGTACGAAGTGCCGCGCATGAGAAACACATAGGCAGAAATCGACGACGCGCCATGCCGACGCACGTAGGGGGCGGCCATTTTAGATTTGCCGATGGCAATAGATTGGCCGTAATTTTTTTGTTCGTACTCGATTCTAACGCGCATGCGATTTATGAACTCGCTTAACCGGAAAAAAGGTGCACGTTAGATTCGAGTAATTACGGTACTCACTTCACCCTGTGCCTTCCTGTGTCCATTGCATCAAGACCACATTAGTACAGTCGAGCCCACATATAACGGCCCCACTTAGAATGAACTTTCGCTTAAAACGAACAATATCCGAGTGACCGTGAAAATATACATTAGTTCAATGGCACAAAATCGCACTTACAACAAACGTCTCCGAGCGCCGCTGATCGGTTAAGGCGAACGGAGTCAGCTGTCTGCCGACTTCCCGGGAAACCAATTTCGAACACTGATCAGGCATTGGCGAGGTGCCCATACATTCTTATTTTAAACGCCGACCCTGCCTCCGCGACTCTCTAGTTGCCGCTCTCCCCAACCCATAGTGTTTCTCTATGCCCCGACTGCTTTTTGTTACGCACCCCTCCGTCCTTTGTCCCCCCGCTACTCTGAGCACCCCGCATCACCAGACGAGGCCCATGTTTTCACACTGCCACCGATCTTTCGAAGAACGGTCGGCCGTCTACCCTGTTTTTGATCACTGGTACTGTCGTTGGTGTCGCCGGCCTGGAGTGACTAGACAATTCGCCAACATCGTCGGCCACAGACTTTATCCGATAGTCTGCGTCTAGTGCACGCGCGTACGCTACTCAGACTCTGATAATTTTCGATTCGTTTCGTGGTTAGGACTTGTTCTCGCTCATTTCGCACTCGGCTCAGCATGCCTTCCGTGTGCGTACGGAAGCGCAAAGACAGCTGTTAATTTGTGCAGAACAAATGGCGAAATATCGAAGTTCGTGAGGCCACCACGGCCGCCGATTCTTCGAACACCGCCGCGCGCACCAGTCCAGGCGGCCATGCTTTGACTTCTGCACGCGCAGGCACTCTTTCCAAGTTTTTCTACGTGCGAGTTTCGCGGACCTTTCAAGCAGGCTACCCAACCTGCCTTCTCGTGTGTTTTGATTTTCAAGGGTGCCTCCCGCCGTGTCCTCCTCTTTATCGCAACTCCTTGCCCTTCTCTCGCAAATCTGCTCTCCTCTCTTGATCGCAACTCCTTCGCCCGTCTCCACCGCTCCGCGACGCTAGCCACGCTGGCTCGAGTTAGTTTCTTTTTTTGACTAGAAACGGGCCCACAGCTGTTCCACGCGTTCTGGGCATGTGTGTCGCGTGTGCGCGTCTTGCTCGCTCTTGGTGTGCGTGTGTGGTCATGATGGCCGACGGAAGGACTAGCACGCTTTTTCCTTCCGCTCAATGAAACCTCAAAAGTGTGACCGTTTTGCTTGAGTGTAATCCACGCGTTAGATGCCGCGTTGCGGAGCGCTCGCTCATAGCTGTTGACCACCTGGCAGCCAACTTGCCGCTTCGGGCGTCCTGGTATTCAGCTGGGAAGATGGTGAATACCGTATACACGCGTGTAAGGGCCGCATCCCGTTTCTTAAGAAGCACATATTAAAAAAAAA